TCCCTAGTTAACTGAAGGCAAGCAAAGGTTAATATACTGTTCTGAATTACCTCAGAAATTAGATTCATGGCCATTTAGCAACTTTCTTTTAAAATGTGTCAAATACTACAAGTGAATAATAAGACACATGCATAATTGCTGGCTTAAGATGCAACACTTCACTGAATTTTAATTGTCAGACAAGTTGTGCACAACCTATTACAAGACTTGTAAAAATATCTCAGAAACAGACTTGTTTCTCTCTATGGATCCTAGAACTCATTTCCTTCACCATACTACTAAAGTATAAGCTTCTCTGATCTTCAGGGTATTCTACATGGCCATCCCTGTACCCTCGTTTTTGCCTCAGAAAGTTTGGCTGTAGCTTTCATGTCCCAATGTCTTGCTCCAGAGTTGCTGTAAATGGATATAGTTATTGAATGAGGTGGGATGAGGCTCAACAGGGACAAGTGAATGAGGTAGTAGATGAGGTTCAATAGGGACAAGTGCCAGGTCCTTCACCTGGGCAGGAAGAACCTTCACCATAACTGTGAAGGTTGCTATCAAGCTTTAATTCACATGTGTAGCAGAGTCTCCCCTGCAACTGGGAGTCCCCTCAGCTGTGGGCTCCCAGCAGTACTGGGGTTGTGGCAGAAGGCCACCTCTGTCTTTCCCCCAAAACTCTGCTCTGTGACAATTTGGGTAATATGGGCCCTGCAGAAGGCAGACATCCCATCTCTTTAGGTAACCTGAGTTGGATACATTCCTGAGGGAGGGGGGAAACCTGCTCCCTCTGCCTACTTGACTGGCATCACATACCTGGGTGAGGGGCTTACACTCCCTATTGTTCTAAGCAATGCCACCTGACTGGGAGGAGGCTAGAGACCCTGCCAGTCTGCCCAGCAACCAGTGATGCATTTCAAATTGGTTGGCTGGCAGCCAACAGGTGCTAGTCTCCATTGGACCAGGTAAATTAGGTCATAAGGTCTATATAAGTTAAGGACTGCCCAGGAGGGGGGCCGTTAGCCATGATGAAAACTCAGAAAAGAGGAGGCCTGTCTGAAACTTGCTCTCTCTCTTGAAACTCATGATCAATGAACTGCCTGCCTCCAGAGGGAATCTTCACCTGTCTCTGGATGATACTCATGAGTAAGCTACCTGAGATCTACCTAGACATATAGCTTGCAGTAACTCAGATACATGATCAAAGGCTACCCAGCCACCCTGTTTGCTCTATAGGATTTCTGTGGTATTGCTCAACCCTGTACCCTATTCCAAACCTACTCCTTGTAACCAGTAAAGTTCTCCTTTGTACCTAGCATGGGAGACTTATTGGGAGTGGGTCTAGATTATGCCTTGGGGTCCCCTTGGTTCAGCTGACTAAGGGAGACCACTATTTGTAGGTCAGACTGAGGGAAGCATGCCAAGATCTTGAAGTGGGTCAAGTACCCTGAAGGATTACTAGGCCTGTGCTTCCCAGGGGGCACAGTGCCAGGATCAGACCAGACCCTGGCTGGTGGCAGCACTACCCCCAGGCTAGCGGGTGTGCTCCAGGAAGGGAGTTGGCTAGACGTGAGGCACCCCCCGGGAGGCACTCAGAGCCTGGAAGGTAGTCGGGTGCAGTGACATGGGTGGCTCAGTGCAGGAGCACCCCCTACTGGCCCGCCACATGTGGTGGAAGAAGCAGAATATGAAAACCTGCTGTATTAAAGGCATAATTTGGGGAAGGGAATAGAGTCACTGAAAACCCTTGAGCAAACAATCTCTAATTTGGTACTGGGTCAATTGAACAGTATAGATAGCTAGGATGGCTGACGAGTATGACCACATGACTGTGGACAACTTGAGAGAGATGATGAAAGAGAGAGGCCTTCTAGTGAGGAAGGGGCAAAAGAGAGAAGACCTGATGAACCTTTTTGGGGAGAGGCAGAGGTGGCATTCTGCCACAAGCACTGCATCTGAAAGGTACCTGGGGGTGACAATTGACCAGAAGATGAATATGAACCAACAGTGTGATAAAGTCGCCAGCAGGGCAAATAAAACTCTGGTGTTTATTAGCTGATGTGTTGCAAACAGATCCAGAGAGGTGCCCCTTCCCCTCTATTTGGTATTGCTGAGGCCACAGCTGGAGTACTGTGTCCAGTTCTGGGCACTGCACTTCAGGAAGGATGTGGACAAGCTCAAAAGAGTACAGAGAAGGGCCACCCCTATGATTAGGGGCATGGAGGACAGGTCATATGAGAGACTCTGGGAGCTGAGTTTGTTCAGTCTGAACAAGGGAAGACTGGGAGGTGACTTGATAGCTGCCTACAAGTATGTCAAGTGTGAACACCAAGATCTGGGAGAGCAACTCTTCAGAAAGGCCCCCCTTGGGAGGATGAGGACCAATGGCCACAAGCTAATTGAAGAAAAATTAAAGATGGACCACTTATTTTCCATAAGGGTATCTAGAGTCTGGAACACACTCCCAGCAGAGGTGGTGCAGTAGCCATCCTTGGAGGTGTTCAAGAGGAGGCTGGACAAGCACCTCGTTGAACTCATTTGAGCCTAATAACCTCCTGCCCATGGCAGGGGACTGGACCTGATGATCTTACAGGTCCCTTCCGGTCCTACGATTCTAATGGGCTGGGGATTATCTGCTTGCTAATAACTGACAAGTTTGTAAGCTAGGTGTTAATAAAAGTAACAGCACATGAAGGATGATGGACTTTATAACATTTTATAAATGCAGATTTATAGTGGCCACATTTTTTCAAAGTGGCCTATGCTTTCAGGACCCTCAATTTTTATGTGCACAACTTGATAAAAATGAAAGGGATAAGCTCCATGAAAGGCTAGTGCTCAGTACTTTCTGTGCTGAGTGTTCACATGTTTATGGTATCAAAAACAGGCATTCAAAGTCACTAATCACTCCCAAAAGAATTCGAGTTCCACCCAATAGCCAACCAGCTAGTAACTGCCTCATTTCCTTTAAGCCTCTTTAACTCTTCTAAACATGAAGGCTAAGTACAGACATTCAGGAAGTTAAATCGGGTTCAAAATGGTTACACAGTGTAACAGGAGGATGGTCAGGGTCACCGTGCTCTCCTCTGCCACCTCCTTTACCGTGCCAAGTTGCCGACAAGCACCCTCAAATCATCTCCTGCCATGACTTTGATGTCATACGTATTTTATAGGGAGGCTGCCTTTCGTCCTCTTGTCCACGGGTCTCCTGTTATCACTAGTTCCTCTCCTGTATTGGGTGTTCTGTACACCTTAGCCTTATGGGCTATGTGTGGTTCCAACCACCCCTGTACCACGCCCCAAGCCTCGCAGATGTAACTGATGTTGTTCGGTCTCTCTCCATGCCCTCTCCGGTGCTCGGGCTCTCCGCGGCCCTCTCTCTCTCTCTCCGCGCCCTCTCCGGCACTCGGGCTCTCCGTGGTCCTGTCTCTCTCTCTCTGCGCCCTCTCTGGTGTTCGGCAATCGCAGCCCCCTCTCACTGGGGCTTCTCGCTGCCCCCACTCTCTCTCTAGGGCTTCTCAAGTGCCCCCACTCTCTGGGGCTGGGGTCAGTGTACCCCGAATGCGGCACCCTCACTGGCGCTGTGGTCCCCACACTGCTGTGAGTCCCCTATGAGGCCTCCTCCATCCCCTCTTAGCCTTACCCAGACCACTGGTTACAAACAGCAAACAAAACAAGCCCCTGGGCTACAACGCAAGCTCCAGCCGTCTGGCTATAACATTAATCCAGCCGCCCCTAGGGTGCTCCATCATTTACCAGTCTCCAACAGCTGATGCAATCAGGGCTCTTCCCTCTCCTCGCTCAGGCAGAGCTCCTTCCCCTTTGTCTGCCAGCAGGGAACTGCCTCCTGGCCTCCTGCCTGTGATTTATATAGGAGCCAGGCCCTGCCCCTTCTTGTCCGCTGGCTAGGCAGGTGTGGGTCATCAGTTCCCTCTAGTTGCCTCAGGAACCGGCACCTGAGGAGTTATCCCAGCTCCCCAAGTAGCACGCACCTTAGTGCCCTGCTACACGTAGTTTAAACTTAGCTTATCCCAGTGCCAACTTTACACTTACAGGCCTGGTCTCATGACCGGCAATCAGTTTAAATCTGTAATTGTACAGAAGTTCTGTGCACACAAACCAGTCCAAAAATTGCAGAACCCCATTTAAGATAAACCTGGATCTGTGTAGTATCAGGCTTCTTCTATTTTGGTCAAACCTATGCGTGGAACTTCTGTTCACTTCCCCTGCACAGCCCCAGGGCTGCTCCTTTCACACCCCTCTCCCCCTTCACTGGTCTATTTTTTAACCCCCACCTGGCCCCTTTTTCCCCCCTCCTTCCACCAGCCAGCCCTCTCAACCCCCACCCCACAAGCTGCACCAGGTGCAGCCATTTTTATCAGTGTTCACCATTGCTGGAGCCAAGCAAGTAAGTCCCAGTGCAGGGAGGGGCAGGATGGTTGGGCATGTAGGTTCATTGGGAGGGGTGACCCCACCCGTCCTGTGGCTCACTTCTCCCCCCTACCTCACTTGCAGGTCACACTTCCCCCCCACCACCCATGGGTCATGTCTGCCCTCCCACCCCTTACAGATCATTTCTGCCCCACCCTGTGGGTCAGCCCTGTCCCCCTACCTCACCCATGGGTCGTGCCTCCCCCTGTCACGAGCTGCTCCTGCCCTCCTACACCATCCATGGATCATGCCTTCCCCCACATTCCCGGGTGGACCCTCAATCCCCTCCAGCTTGCTGGACCCTCAACCGCAAAGCCAGCCTCCCCATCCTGACTTACTTGATATCGGGCATCCATTTTGAGTTGATTTAACCTCCCCCTAATGCCCCCAAATGTCTGTACTTAGCCAAAAAGAGCTTAAGAACATTTAGCTAGGCTGTGTCTCAGTCAGCATAGTTAGCTATGTTTCATAGATTTCATAGACATTAGGGGCTGAAAGGGACCTCATGAGATCATCGGGTCCAGCCCCCCTGCCATAGGCAGGAAGTCAGCTGGGATCAAGTGACCCCAGCAAGAAATTAATCCAGCAGTTTTTTGAAGGAGTTCAGAATAGGTGCCCCTGGGGGCTCCTCAAGGAGTTCAGAATAGGTACCTCTGGGGGGAGTTTGTTCCAGACCCTGGACAGACGCACCATAAAGAATTTTTTTTCTTATATCCAGTCTGAATTGGCCTTCCTGGAGTTTATGGCCATTAGACCTTGTTATCCCTTGGAGAGCTCTGGTGAACAGGTGTTCTCCCAGGTCCTGATGTACCCCTTTTATGAAGTTGTAGGCTACCACCAAGTCCCCCCAAGCCTTTTCTTAACCAGACTGAAGAATCCCAAATCCCTCAGCCTCTCCTTGTACAGCCTTCCCTCCAGGCCTTGGATCATATGAGTGGCTCTCCTCTGGACTCTCTCAAGATTCTCCACATCCTTCCTGAAGTGGGGGGCCCAATACTGGACGCAGTACCCCAGCTGTGGTCTCACCAGGGCTGAATAAAGCAGGAGGATGACTTCCCTGGTTTTGCTTGAGATGCACTGGTGGATGCATGCCAGGGTTTGGTTAGCTTTGCCCACTACTGCATCACATTGGTGGTTCATATTCGTCTTGTGGTCAATCAAGACCCCCAAGTACCTTTTGGTCATGATGCTAGTGAGCATAGCACTGCCTGTCCCAGCCACCTGCGGGGGGTTCGGGATTGAGACTGTGGTTGAGGATAGAAAGGTAAGTTTTATTGACAACAAAAATACAACTATGCACAGATAACAAAACAACAGACAGACAATAATAATTTGCGTCAGCAACTTATTGGCAGTCCCCTCTGATGCCTGATGTATGACAAGTTTCTCTTCTGCAAAGCTCAGCAAAGTCAGGTGTCCCCAATCAGCGCTGTCTGAGAGGTACCGGGAAGGACCCTGGTATTTAGTCCTTGGGCTCCTCGAGATCCATGGGCCCACTGATCCAGGTCAACAGCTAATTAGTCCCTTTCACAGAGCTGTATCTGCCTTCTGAATGATTTCCGGATGTGCCAGCCAATTTGTAACTTCTGAGCTGTGCTGATAATGTACAGCCATTCAGATTCTTTTTACTTCAACTGTCCTTAGACTGACCAATAGCAGTACAAGCCTTGCATTCTTTTGATAAGGTTAATTTTAACTATGCCACATGGCCTTACTACTTCAAGACTTTGCTAAATCTACTAGGTCTTACTTCATACAAGGCCTTACTACATCTTAAACTTTAATTAGGCTCTTAGCAATAACATATAGCTTAATATCTAAACAAATGACAGAAAAACACTTGATCCAGTCTTCATAGAGCCTTCAGCAATGCTAGTGAGCGTAGCACTGGCAAGCCTGTAAGTATGCTGAGGGCTCTTCCTACCAAGGTGCAGCACCTTGCACTTCTCTGCATTGAAGGCCATCTGGTTTTGGTCAGCCCACCTTGAGAGTGTGTCCAAGTCAGCCTGTCTTCCCAGCCTGTCCTGCAGTGTGATGGCCCTGTCCCATAATTTGGTATTGTCTACGAACTTGGCCAGTTCACATCTGACTCCGAAATCTAGATCATTGATGAAAATGTTAAAGAGTACTGGCCCAAGTACCAAGCCCTAAGGGACTCCACCGGTAGCCCTGTGCCACATTGATTTGCTCCCTTCAACTAGTACTCTTTGGGTTTGACCCCGTAGTCAGTTGCCTAGCCATTGCACTGTATGATGATCAAGGCCACAGTTCCCCAGCTTAACCATGAGGACATCATGGGGAACTAGGTCAAAGGCCTTCTTGAAGTCCAGATATATGATGTCTACATTGTCTCCCTTGTCCAGGGCACATGTTACCTGGTCATAGAAGGAGATGAGGTTCGTCAGGCAAGACCTGCCAGTCACAAAGCCATGTTGCCTGGTATTCAGAAGCTTGCCTTCCATTTGTCTGGTGTTGATGGATCCCTTGAGAATTTTCTCCAGGATTTTTCCAGGGATGGACGTCAGACTGATTGGTCTATAGTTCCCCAGGTCATACCTCTTCCCTTTCTTGTAGATAGCGACCACGTTGGCTCTTTTCCAGTCATACAGGACCTCACCTGAGTGCCACGATTTTTCAGATATCCCTGCCAAGGGGGATGCAATGATGTCTGCCAGCTCTTTCAAGACCCTCGGGTGCATTCCGTCTGGGCCTGCGGACTTGTGAATATCCAGTTGAGGACAAAGAAGCTAGACTTCTAGAGCATTGATAGATAACATCATTTGCCTGCATACAAATATTTCACAATTCAAAAAAGAAACCCATTTCATGTAAACTTCCCTCTTTAAACACAGGACTTGATTATCTTCTGATTCATCTCATTTAAGACTACCTATTCTTCTTGCCAATTAGTCAAGCTCATTACTCAGGTAGGTATACATGCAAAGGCTGTTAATCTCTTTTATGAGTTCCAGAGGAGACTTTTCTGGCAGTTAGGAGCTTAACAGCCATATATGCTTTGAAAATTATCTGCCCTCCATTCCCATTCTTAAGTATAGCTTATAGCAGTGAGCACTTACTGCAAGCAGACTGTTCCTCATAGAGCTTATATTAGCATTTAATAGCCTCTACAATGCTATCCACGATGGGACATACAGCTCAATGGGAGGGAAAAGCAATTTAGAAGAGCAACAAACAGTATTTTTACATATTTACATAATTTTTTTGTTCTCAAATATTTCCCTGTTGTCATTTTCCCACAAGTCTGTTTCTTCTCAGCCTTATCTATTTGGAACCTTTTTCTTTCTAACTGATTTTCCCTTCAGTTTGCTTAGAGGGGAACACTTTGAAGCGATT